GAATATGATGGGAAAGCATCGTGGGAAGCATAAAGAGCACAGTTTGAGTTACTGGCAGAGATGAACAGATGGACAGAGAAGCAGAAAGCAGTATATTTGGCAACGAGCTTGAAGGAACAACCACTGGAAATACTTGGACAGTTGTCAGCAGATGACAGGCACAGCTATAGAACACTGGTGTCGGCTCTAGAACTCAGGTACGGAACCCAAAACCAGTCAGAAGTCTACAGGGCCAGGTTCAGGACGAGAGTCCGTGCTAAAGATGAGAGCCTGCAAGAGCTGGCACAAGACTTGGAAAGCATGGCACACAAGGCCTACCCAACTGCCCCACCCGATCTCCTCAAGTTGTTGCTGAGGGATCGGTTTCGTAGATGCCTTGGACAGTCCACAACTTAAGATACAAGTCAAGCAAGCACACCCCTCTACCATGCAGGATGCAATGGCCAGAGCTCTCGAATTTGAATCCTACGTTAAGTCCAGCACAGAGGTACCGAGGTTGGTACAATCATCAGGATTCAAGGCCACAAAAGGTCAGCTTTCAGAGAGGTTTGAGGGACTTTGCTGGCACTGCAATAAACCTGGGAACAAGAGAGCTCAATGCTGGAAACTTCAACACAGGGGAGGTGCCACAGCAGGAAAGGCTGGTATCCAGAAAGGTTGTTGGAACTTTGGAAAGCACGGACATTTGAGGAGCCAGTGTAGGAAGAATATTACCAACAAGTCAGCCTCAAGGAGACCAGTAGTGGTTGGTGTTGAGCGACGCCCACCAACCCCCATCGTGAAAGTCCCAACAGCTAAGTGTAAAATGGCAAGCACACATAGTGTCTACGTGACAGGGAAGCTGGATGGCCAAAGGTGCAACTTTGTCATAGATTCTGTGTCTCAGCAAACCCTTGTGAGTATCAAGGTGCTGGATCACAGAGGAGTACCAGAAGCTGTACAGAAGCTTTACGGTGTGACAGGACATTCTACAAGATTGTGGGGACCAGTGTGGGTAACTATTGAGCTCATGGGCATAAAGGACTGGCAGGAAGTATATTTGGCTGACATTGAAGATGAATGCATATTAGGATTGGACTATCTACTACCGAGGAAGTTTGTAATTGATTTTGATAAAATGGCATTTGGGAACAACAAAGGCCAAGTTCCGGTAACTGTTAAAAGAGAGGTTGAACTAATTAGGTGCCATAAAGGTGAAGTCAAAGTGACTGAAGAAGTTGATGATGACGAAGTGGAACCAGGTATTGACATCAAAGCAGAACAGGAGAAAGACCAAGATTTGAAGCCAGTGATTGATTTTCTAAAAGCAAGTGTTTTGCGCCCTGCTTGGGAGAAGGTGTCTAGTCTAAGTCCTGTGACAAAGAACTATTGGGCACAATGGGACCAGTTGAGGCTTGAAGATGGTATTCTTCTCCGGAGATGGGAAAGTGACGACCTGGCAAAAGATTATACCGAGAAAGTTACGGGAAGTTGTGTTGTGTCAATCCCATGATACTGTGACAGGAGGACATCTCAGAGTTAAGAAAACATTGATGTGGAAGAATGGTGCAGAACATGCAGTTCATGTTGTGCTAAAAGG